ACCACACAGAAAATTAAAAAGGAAATATGTGACTGGAACAATAGTATACACCAACTGCACCTAACACATATTTATACAGTACTCCAGCCAATAACAGCAAAATGCACAGTTCTTTTCAAGTACACATGAAACACTCCTCAGAATATGCCACGTTAGCTATAATGTCTAAATAAATGTTAAAAAAAGGATTAAAATAATAAAATGTATGTTCACCAGCCACAATGGAATGATATTATAAATTAATATCAGGAAATAATTTGGGAAATATACAAATATATAGAAGTTAAAAACAAACTCCTAAATCATCAATGAGTCAAAGAAGAAATCAAAAGGGAAATTAGAAAATACTTTGGTTTCAAAGAAAACAAAACACATACTAAAGCAGTTTAAGATCAATGAAAACGAAAACAGAACACACCAACATATTGGTTGCCCCTAAAGCCGTGCTGAAGGGCATGTATAGCTGTGAATATCTATATTTTTAAAAAGTAAAAATTTCAAATCAGTATCCTAACTTCTCATCTTAAGAAAATACAAATAAAAAAGTACAGAAACCTAAATCAAGCAAAAAAAAAAAAAAAAAAAAAAAAAAGGAAATGGTAAAGATTACATCAGAAATAAACAAAATTAAGAATAGAAAAACAATAGAAAAAGTGAATGAAGCCAAAAGTTGGTTTTTTGAAAAGATGAATAAAATTAATAATGACAATAAGAAACTGTCTTTGCTTAATAATATAACCAAGAGAACTGAAAACATTTATTCATATAAAATCCTGTACTTGAATGTTCATAGTAGTGTTATTCATTATAGCCAGAGTAGAAACATTCCAAATGTCCATCAAATGCTATATGAATAAACAAAATGTGGTTTATTCACACAAATGAATATTATACAGTCACAAAGAGAAATGAAGTACTGATACACGCTCCAACATGGATGAAACTTTAAAAAATTAAGTGAAAGAAGGCAGAAACAAAAGATCATATATTATATAATACTATTTATACTATATGTATGTACATATGAAAGGTCTAGAATATACAAATTCCTAGAGACACAGACTATATTACGGTTGCCAGAGGCTGTCGGGAGAGGAGACTGGGAAGTGACTGCTCCTTGGCCTGAGGTTTTGTTGTGATGTGATGGAAATGTACCAAAATTAGATAGTGGTGATTTTGTACAATCTTGTGAATACACTAAAAATCAGTAAATTTATACCTGAAAATGTTAAATTTATACTATCTGAATTATATCTCAGTCAAAAAGAAAGACATCTATGATAATTTTTATAGTGACATTACTTGTTATTGTTCTAACACAAAAGCAACGCAAATGTTTATTCATGATGAAAGAATAAATAATTTGTCATACAGTCTCACAACAGAAGAATATGACGATGACAATCAGCACACTACTGCTAAACTCAGTGGTATGAAATGAATTTCACTAAAATATGCTGAGTAAAAGTATGTGACACAAGAGGATTCATGCTTTATGAATCAATTTGAATAAAATTTAAGGTAATCAAGATTAAACTTTAGAGTTTGAAGTCAAGATAGAGTTTATATTTGAATAAGTGAGACAGACAAGTGATTGGGAGAGAGTTGGAGGGGTACAGGTAATGTTCTATTTCTTGGCTTGAGTGGTAGTTACAAAAAATACACACTTTAAATCATTAAGTTACATGCTTAAAATTTCTGCAATTTTCTATTGCGGATATTACCTCTTTAACATAAGTTCTACATAATAAAAATTACCTAAATGAATGTCCCTCATCAATATGTTGATTTGCCCAACTTTTTTTTTGCCTATAGTTATTTATTTTTGTGCTGCCACAGTGTATGCACTTCGTAAGCCAATACCCGATAAAAGATTCAGTAAGAAGCAGAGATTTTCTACTGAATATTCCTCCCTACCCCCTACTTCGTCTTCTTAAAGAGTTGAAACTTACTTTACTTTTCTTTTTATTATGCAACAGAGTTTCTTTCAAACGGTCCTTCTAGAATAAGATCAGATATCCCACAAATAAATATACCCATCCTATATCCTAAAATATGAAAAAGCAGAAATGTGAATGAGCTATTACTTAAAATAATATATATTATTTTAAAATATAAATATTTGAAGGTGATCCTTCCTGGCTTTTCCAAGAGACTTACTCTTTTTCTCCCTGTAACACTTTCATATGTGATGTAATTTTGAAAAAAGGTATCATAGTTTTTGTAGGTTAACATCTTATAGGGAGACTTTCCTGTCCCTTGAGAGAAAGAAAAGAGAAAAGAAAAATATTTCCATTTTGAAAAGAAGATTATTTACATATTTTGATTTGGCTCCCAAATTCTAGACTGTGTATATGAGCCCAAGTCCATGCTGGGCATCAATATTTAATCTAGTCTGGTTTGGATGGCTTCTGATATTAGCAAGTCCAGAAGCATAAGAATATCTACATCTCGCCCAAACACCTGGTCTCTCCACGAAGGTCCCTAGAGAGATGTATAAAAGAAACATTAGAACATTAGACTGATAGAAAAAAAAGTAGTTAGTTATATCCATATAAATATTCAGTAAAATATATTTTAGAGAATTAAAAAACATGGATAAAAACTGTGGCTTAGATCTTGAAACTTAAGAATGTTCTTCTATCACTTCCTGAACTTAACTCGGAATTTCATGCTTTTATAGTCACCTGTATAGTGAAAGAAACCTGAAAAAGACAGAACTTTTCAGGCCATATATTGGGTTAGCTGTGTAGTCACATGTATTGAGAAAGAGAAAAGAGTAGGTAATTATGTGTAATAAGTTTTTCAACTGATAAATGAGGATTAATTAATGAGCCAGCTACTAAAAAAAAAAAAAAATGGGATTACTGAGAGTTCAAAAAACTGGGCTTGAAAATAGATAAGCAAGAGTCAGTCAGATTAAAATTAAGGGAGAGTATTCCAGGCACTGGGAATAATTTATCTGTAATATTCATCTATTGTAGATTCTGGTGGGGGGGAAGGTTCATTCTACAGCAATTCACTTTTTCCGGCACTCGTATCTTGATTTTTCCTTGAAAAACAACCTCTACCTTTCTTCATCAAGGATATTTTTGCTCGGCGTTTGAATATGTTACCTAACCCCAGTTAATCAGCAAGTCTCATTACCTTGGCTACAGTGATTGGTTAAGAAAAAGAATGTCACATAAACAGAACCAATAAAACTTACACTGAGAATTCTGAAACAAAAACCTATTCCTGGCTACCTATACCTATAAATACCTTTTTTTCTAGGAGATAATTAAATGATTTCACCATATATTTTTTCATAAATCAGTTGGAAGATTTGTTCCACCTGTACAATACACAGTCTTCTATCTGTTAAAAAGTTAAAGCTTTTAGTGAGGTAGGAACTAGCCTGACAGTTTTAAAGGAGTTGAAATAAGACCAATTAATTTCCAGTATATTGATAAAGGGAAATAGTAGCACAAGAAAAGATTTAAAGAATACACAAGGACCAGAGAATGCAAGGCCTCCTAGGACACAGTAAACATTTATACCCAATTTTAAGAGTAATGGAAGGCCATGAAAGGCTTTTAAGGAGAAGAATGATATGATCAAATTGGCATTTACCAATATTTTTTTAGTTAAAATCAAAATAAATATTAAAAATTGGAGTATCATATAACTGATGGCCTTTTGACAATTGCAATGTATACAATATAAATATCATTAGTATACAAACTACATATAAAATGTTAGTGACTAGAGTGGTGAATAATACTAGGTTTCTAATGTTTCCTATGGTAATTCAGTAAAATAATAATGTGTCAAAACAATCTAGTTATAATTCTAAGATTTGGCTTGCATTCAAATTGAGGCATGTCTTTGATTAACAAAGATTTGCTGGAACTACTATTATAAAGGCTTACTTTAACTTCAAGGAATTAATATTGGCTGCTACTAGCACATGTACAAAGATAAAATTAAATGTAAATCAAAATTGTGATGCCCTACAAGACCATTAGACGTGGCTTCCTGAAATAAGAAAATTCCTCTAGAGATACTGATTGTAAAAACAAACAAAAAATGAATTATGACTGGTATTCACTGAATGCAAAAATAAAAACAATAATTATATCTGCCACTTCAGTGATATTGCCTTTGCAACTCAAATGTGCTATTAGAGTTTGGCAAAACTTCAAAATAAGGATTTTTTTAAATATATAAGATGATGTAATTATAAATGGGTTAATAAAATCTGATGAAATATCATTGTACAAATTATGAATCTCTCTCAGAAGTTAAGGTGTTTTCTCTACTACAGTTAAGAACGCCACTAAGAAGATGCATTTCCTTCTCGTTTGGATTCAATTGTTTCATTCAGGGCAACTACAATTTAGTTCAGAACATTCTGTGAACTCTAAAATATGACAAGACGATGAGACAAAACCAACACTGAATTATACATATTTCCTCTGGGCAAACCTGCAAAATACTCTGACTTTACCAAATTCAAATCCAAGTGTATGTGTAGCTCGGACTTGAGTACACATACACTTGGGAGATATATATATGTCAAAAGTATCCTGAGGGTATTTAATCTGTTCTACTTTTGAAAGTGTAGAGTTTTTAAAATTATATTTTTCCTCTATTATTTTATTATATCTATTTTTTAAATTATATTATGGGGCATATTTCCAAACGTACTATGAATAAGCCAATTCTAAGCACCTGACAGGTTAGTTGAATTTAACAATAAATTCATAAATGTCTTTAAAATAGTTAATTATTCCTCATTAAAACTTGATGTATATTAGTGTTTTGTTTTCAATTGTGAGCTCATAATTATGAGTAACTTAAAAAAGAAATACTAGTTCATAAAGAAATTGTCCTTGAAAATCTGAAATACAAGTATCTTCACTAAAAAACACAAGCAATTTTCAGTTCACTCTTAAGATAACTGATCTTTGGAAAATCAGAAACACTTTATACTAAATAAAAATCATTTTCAAACATGCTTTCACCTCTGAAATATTATATTTTATTTGACATTTTCTCAGGGGATCTATAACACTATTGAGAACATGAAAATGACAATATTAAATCACTTTAAAATTTTTATTTTTACCAACTATAAATTCCTATTTGAAATTGAAAAGACAAAATGTTAAAATAATATATTTATTGAAATGGCTGTACACATAAGCAGGCAACTACACAGCAGACATGGCAATATGTGTGGAGAGAAAGATGAAAGTAGAAACAGTGGCTCAAGGCATATCTATGTACATTAGTTTTTACTGGAATGCTTATCAGAAAAGTTAAGATTCTACTTATTTTATTAAGGCACTTGGGCACAAAAGATTTAATATTCTTTAATGAATGAATCTGTATTTTCCACTAAGATAACTTGCTATTATCACACACCAAAAAGAATTAGAATGAACAAAATTTAAATGAATTAAAGAAATCCATAGGATTGTATATTTTTGTAAACCGACTTAGTCACTTTTTTACAGTAAATGCTGGAAATAAGCAATTTCTACTAAGAAGGCAGATTATTGTGTAATTAGGCACAGCTATAATTCATCTAGACATCTGATGTTATGTCCTATTAATTCCTTATATAGATGACAGAACTCTTGTTTCCTGATATTATCTTGAAAATATATGTAAGCATTATCAAATATTGTTCAAATATTTGAACAGTTTTACAGATTAGCTTTTTTGAATTAAGATGGAGACTAGATTATACAGAATAAGATGTCAAGGTCAGGCACACTTAATACACTTTCCAGTCTTCTTGTCTGGTAAACCTTTTTAACAACTTTCTGCTTCTAATATATGTTTTGGTAAATACTTACTTAGTATAAGAATCTATGTGAAACTCATATGCCGACTCTAATTCATTGGCTCTCTGAATCAGGTATTTACCAAAACATATGTTATTAAAGATGGAAAAGCATATTTTTTAAAGATTTACTATAGGTTTTATATAAGATACTTTTTATGCACCAAAATTTTAGTTAGAAGCATGGAGAATACGAAATTCTGAAAGTCATAAACACAATACAGATAAATTGTGTGGATGTATATATATTTGTGTGAATGTATATATTTAAAGTGTTCAAAATATTTTGAAGCATGACATCAAAGTCATTTAAGTAAAATACTGAAACTTTCCAGCTTAACATTTAATTTTGAATAACCTTCAAGACTGTAAAGAAAATGAAATATCAGGGGAAAAAGTCTAAAATGTTGTCGTAATATGCAAAGAAATCTAAAAATCCATGTAAATAAAAAACACTCCAACAAGAAAATAAATTATGATCATGAGACATTAACTCATAAGTATGAAAATACAAATGGTCAGTGAGTACACAAATGCTGTTTAATTTTTGTAATTTACAAAAGTGAAATAAAGCAATGACGAAATGGTTTGTTTTATATATCATGTTGAATTGACCAATAGCTTTTTTAAAAAACCCTTGTTTCTTGGAGCATATGGAAACAGGCATTCTCCTACAATGACAATGGAAATGTAAGTGCCCCAAGTATTCTGGACAGCATTTAAGCAATATTTATCAAAATTACTTTTTAAAACTGATTCTTTTTTAGCCATTAATTCCACTTCTAAACATTTTCTTAAGAAAACAGACATATTTGCATATACAAGTTTGCAAGGATGTTAATCTCTAAGTTATTTATGATAGAGGAAGAAAGAAAAAAGGAAGAAATTATCTAGCAACATATAAGTTTATCAATAAGAAATTAGTTATATTTTGGTACAGTCATTGAACAAAACATAAAAATCACTCAGATTATAACACAAATGATTATTGTGAGCATAGAAGTTGACCATATCATATTGTTTAATTAAGAAAACAATTTCAAACAACATTGGTAATATTATCCTATTTTTCGTAAATTACCTAGGTGTATGTATATATGTAGAGAGAGAACAAAAATAGAAAAATATGTAACAAATTATAATAGGGAATTGGTTTGCATAATACAATTATATGCAATCTTTTTATGGCCTAAAATATTTTTATTTTAGAAAATGTGCAAAGAATATACGCATAATTTCTATAAAAATAAAAGGTAACAAATTTTTCTCATTCATAAGCTGAGGTATTGCCAAAAAATATTTTAGTATTTCTTTTATATTAGTAATATATGAAATAGAGGATGTGAATAATAGTTATAAGAAACAACTAAGCCAAGTAAAAATATAAAAACAGTAAAAACAAAAGCACTTGCTTGCTAGGTACCTTTGGTATGAATCAGAATTTGTAAAGCAATTATTTAAATGTAAATAAAAAACTCTTGCCAAGATTTCCCAATGGATTTGAAGCAGCACATATTAAAAGCCAACATTAAAAAAAAAAAAATCCTTTAGAAAGTATTTTAAAAAGCTGAGGAATATAGATGAAAGGCAGGAGAGAAAGGGAAATAGGGGAATGGTCCTAAACTAAAAATTATGCTAGAAAACAGAATAAGTGATGTAACTTCATTTTATCAGAAAATCAGCCAGTGACTTTCTGATCAATGAAGGCTAAAAGTGAACCTTAATGGGTTACATAGCTGCCATAGTCTAATAAAAGGAGAGGTGAGTTTATAAAAATAGAGGAACTTACTTTTCTGAACCCTAAGAGACTATCACTACACAAAACGATATAAAACAGATTTTAAAAGTTTTTAAACAGAATTTCTACAATCTGTATACATGACTTTCATAATAATAGCATCTGGTAAAAATGTAAGGGAAAATATTAAGCCGTATAGGTATGAAGAGATTTAAGACCAGGCCAACTTTGGATCACCTGAGTTGATACAGATATATAACTTAAGGAATGTAGAAGTTAAGGTTTTACAGTGCAAGTTACAATTTAGATTAACAAGAAAGTACCTGAATTATAGTCAACTAATGGAAAGAACAAAACAAATAAAGCCAGTTTTTAGGCAACATTAAAAACCTCCATCATCTTAATTTAAACCATCCGAAAAACAAGCATGTCAGGATATAAATTTAAAATAAATTCAACTATATCTGAGTACTTTAAGCATTTATTCAAAATGAAATTAGATCTTTAAATTCATACTATAAATTTCTAAAAGTCTGATTTCTCAAAACTTGGATGAAAAATTAGAAAATTTCTGTCAGTAAAAATACTTTGGAATCTTTAGGTGTAAGAACTATTTTGAGCATATTTTCATAGAAGAAATTAAAGCTAGCAATATTACTAAAATAAAATATGCAATAAATTCAAATAATTACCTTATTTCATTTGGTTCAAATGTAATAAAGATATTTCTATTTATACTTATTGCTATGAACACAACATCAAAATAAGAAAAATATGCAATATTAAAATTAGAAAATGTGCCTCTGTAAAATGAACTAAGCTCCATTTATTTTTCCAGAAAAGAAAAAAATGGCTTTGTATAAAAAACGTTTCATCATAAAATTCACTAAACTAAGCACCCATCATGTGGAATATGAAATTTACTGAGGTCAGTTCAGGCAGAGATCACTATCATTTCCCCAACTGTTGCAGATGCTAACTGGGAAGGTATGTTTATCTTTCCTAATAACTCTGGGCCAAGGCAATGCTAATAGGTTTGGAGCCCAAGAAGCAGCCATTCATCTCTATCATTGCTTTAGTAGCATCCTCTAGAGAGGAGAAGCAGATGAAGCCAAACCCTTTGCTCTGGCCCTCTTGCTGCATTACCTTAACTCTAATAATTGATCCAAATGAAGAAAATTCGTTTCGTAGTTTTTCATCATCAATGGTGTCATCAAGGTTCTTAACATAGAGCTTTACTCCCTGGTACCCACGAATTCGTTCCCTTTTCAGCTGCTCAAACATTTGCTTTAACTCAGCCTGTCGCTCTACTTTCTTTTGCGCCCGGCCTACAAAAATCAGCTGCCCATTTATGTCCCTTCCATTCATTTCTTCAACAGCTTTCTTGGCAGCCTCATGGCTATCGAAACTCACAAAGCCAAAGCCTTTGGATTTCCCACTGGAATCTGTCATCACCTTAACACTCAGAGTTTTGCCATATTTGCTGAAAACGTCCTTCAATCTCTCATCATCCATGTCGCCTCCAAAGTTTTTGATGTAAATATTGGTGAATTCACTGGCTTTGCTTCTGAGTTCAGCTTCACGATCTTTTCGGTTTTTGAATCTGCCAACAAATACCTTGCAGCTCTTGAGTAGTTTTCCATTCATCTCCTCAATGGCCCTGTCTGCAGCACTCTGGTTCTGAAAGTGCACAAATGCATAGCCCTTGGAACCTTGATCATCACTCATCACCTTGGAGGAAAGAATCTTTCCAAAACCTGAAAAATGTTCATAAAGGGTTTTGTTATCGATAGATTTGTCCAGATTCTTGATGAACACGTTCCCAATTCCAGATCTCCTCAAGTAGGCATCACGCTGAGACCACATGAGACGGATGGATTTGCCTTTTATGATGTCAAAGTTCATTGTGTCCAGCGCCTTCTGGGCATCAGTCAGCTGCAAGAAGTTCACGTAGGCATAGCCCAGAGAGCGGCGGGTGACCTGGTCCCTGCAGATGCGGATGGACAGCACGGGCCCCGCGGCGCTGAACTTCCTGAACAGCAGGTCCTCGGTGACATCTGCATGCAAGTCACCCACATACAGGGAGGCCATGCGGTACTTGGCTGCTACACTCATCTCCTTGTCCTTGCCACTGTGAGCCTGTCCCCTGGAACTCTTGGAGCAATCCCTGTGAGGGGTAGTAGGCCACAGCTTTGGCCCGGCTCAAGTGTGGAGGCCTCGGGATCACCACACAAAGACCAAGCAATGGAGTTCAGACACAGCTCCCCCAGCTCAGGCAACACCCTTATCCAAAGGTCCCCACGGCCACCGATCTGGCTACGAAGGGGCAACAGAGCTGTGAAATCGCAAAGAGAGGCTATTAGGACAAGACATTCTTTTCCCTCAGATTTGTGAGAAAACTTCAAGTGGCGGGCTGGCCCTCCATCTGAGCATTCTCCACAGACGCCCTGGCCGCTGGTTTCTGAATAAAAATAGGCCTCGCTCAGAGTGGTTTAAAGTTACAGCAGCTCAGGGAAGAACTCCACAAGCGGAGGCGTCAGAGGCCCCGGCCGTGGAGTATGGACAGCGAGGTTCCGCGCAGCAGAGACCCGAACCTGCCAGGTACCGGGTTCTGCAGGCGCCGCCGCCGAAGCGCTGCCGGGAGCGACGCGGACCAAGGGCGTCCTGAATACCTAGGGGGCCCCTCCGACCTCCCGACCCGCGCGGCGCCCCAAAAAAGGAGGCGTGGGGGAAGGGGAAGCTGACAGACCGACTGACTGACGGACACGGCGGAGCGGAGGGTCAGGCGGAGGCTGGGGGCTCACCGGCGGTCTTCTGCGGGCGGGCGGGAAGCCCGGAACTCGCTCGCTGAACTTCCCGCGCACTCGCTGCCAAGTGGGATGTTTTCTTTTTAATATTTTTTTAAGAACGTTTTTCTTCCCCCCGCCCCTATTACACGGTTCCCACCCCCCTCAGATGGCTAAGCTGAGAAGCAGGAGGCGGTGACTGGGGTGGAGAAAAGCCGCCGAGGGGAGTGGCCCCAATAAGCCCACCCGCCCGCAGGGCTTTGCATGGATCTGAGTGAGAGCCTTTCCAAACGTGGATCAGGGCCTGTCACTTCCTGGCTTCAAACCCTCCAGTGGCTTCCTTTGACTTTTGGATAAGGTCCAACATCCGCACCTTATTCTATGAAGTTCTGCAGGATTCCTGAAATGCTCCAGCTTCAACTGCTGCTTAGTTCCCCTTGCGAAACTCCAAGACACACTAGCCTTTTTCAGAGCCAACTTTATAAAAATGTGTTCTTCAGCAATGAGTTAAAATGCTTTTTCCAAATAGATATATATATTTTTTTCTAACCCCCTCTGACAATTTAGGTTTCCCTCTTAGAAACTCTAACACTACCCTGTACTTGCCTGGCCTTCGTCTAATTACAAAATATTGCATATTTTGTAACAATAGAAGCCGTGTGCACTTTATTCTCAGGGACTTGCAGACAAGGGATGTGCAGTATTTATTGAACAAATCTTAGCCTCAGGTTAGCTTTCACATCTAGTTACATGGAATCAGTGGCACTTAGAGATATTTTAAGTGTGAAATGAGTTAATAGATTTGGAAATGGATAATAATATCAGATACATAAGTGGTTTCCAGTAACATTGATTTCATTTTCCTTAGCATTAAATAAAATTCTTTAGTACCATTCTAATGAATCCTTAAAATTTGAATCATAATGAATCTTTGGGAGTCAATAAGTTACTGTCACCGTAGCATGACCTTGATTCTTTTAAAGAGTCCCAGAACCTATGAAAGTAACCTGTGGTCTCAGTTGTGCTTGCTTACAGAAACAAAAGTCAGGCAGGATGCCAGTAGCCACAAACAAGCCACGAGATAAAAACTCAGCTTGGCAGTGCTACTCAGACAGACCTGAATCCTCATTTCCTTATCATATTAAAATCTCTGCCCAGTGGGGAGAAATGCCCTTTGCTAGGCACATATAGTAAGTGCCCAGTGCAAAAGAAAGCACAAGACTGCACACATTCTAGTTTTCTCTGGAAAGTCCCACCTCTTTCCAGGAATTTCCATCCTTAGTCTCCACCTCTATGCTCTAAGAGACCTTAAAAATCCCCCTTCTCCACACACCTGGGAAGAAGGTGAATGGGAAGCTCACCTTCTCTACTCTTTGAACAACAAATAAAGTTTCTGCTCTGCTTAACAGAACCTCCTCTCTTTCTGTTGGCTCAATGGCAACAGGCAGGTAAAGGACCCATTGGGGTAAAACAACCCCTCTTCAGGGCGGAACATTACCTGCAAATCTAAACTGGGTGGATCAGTTAATGTAAGGCAAATTTAGTACTTTTTCAACTTTACTGGACATAGGAAAAAAACAGTGATCTTGTTGAAAAAGCAGATTCTGATTCAGTAACTTGGGGTGGACCTGAGATTCAACTTTTCGAACAAGTTCCTGAGTGATGCAAATTCTGCTGGTCTCTGAACCACACTGAGTAGCAAGACTAAATGAATCCTCATTTAGCGGGATCTTTTCTAATGTAAAAACTGGAAAACTAAAAATATGTGTTTAACTTGCAGAAGATAATAATACTCTAGCAAAATTCATTCTTAGAAATGCATTAAATAAAACTGGAGCATGATTTTCACTGTAAAATCCAAATTGATTGTAATCTATCTAAAATTTCCTATGTGGGAGATGAGAAGATGCCACTCCAAAATATGAGAGATTACTGAGCTGAAGATAATAAAGAAGAAGCAGTTGCAGGAGAGCTCATTGCCCTCCATCTACTTGCCTAAAAGCACGACAAAGACTTATAAAGAAAAATGTTACCTTGCCCTCCCCAAACCCACTCACAAATGTTAACCACTGAAGACAACTTTGGACCCTATCAGCCTGGAGAAGGTACGAGAAGAATCTATGTTCCCAAATTTTAACAAGATAACTAGCCTTTACCTGCCATTGATTCACCTTACCCCAAGTTGCTGCCCATAACAACTTAAAGTCTTTTTTTGTTTTACCACTTCTCTAAGAATTTATTTAGAAGAAAAAGGTGCCATATAATCTGAAATTCACCAAAGAGGTGAGTCACCTCTTTGAGAACTACTCATTATATATTTTATATATACTCCCATGTATATATAAAATATATATACTCATGTATATATAAAATATTTTGTTTATACATACTTCATGTATGTATATTTTATATATACATACTTCATGTATATATACATGAGAGTATAAATACCTGAGTATGTATATATAAAATATTTTATATATACATGAAAGTATAAAATATACATGTTAAATTACATATAAATTTCTGTTCGTTTTTCTCTTGTTTTTGTTTTGTTTTTGTTTGCAATTTTTTTAGACAGGTTCTCTGTTAGCCAAGCTGGAGTGCAATGTTGCAAACAGGGCTCTCTGCACGTTGGACTTCATGGGCTCAAGCAATCCCTCCACCTCAGCCTCTCTAATAGTTGGAACAACAGGCCCATGCCACCATGCCAGGCTATTTATTTATTTATTTATGTTTTATTGTAGAGACAGGGTCTTGCCTGTTGATCAGGACTATCTCCAGTTCCTGGATTCAAGTGATCCTCCTGCCTTAGCCTCTCAGAATGCTAGGATTAGAGGCATAAGCCACTGTGCCTGGCTGTTTGTAAAATTTATTTCAATATGTGTTATTCCTATAGCATCATTTGTTCAAATAAATAAATAGAGTAATCTTTTCTTTCAGCCTATCTTGTAGGCTGCAATTTTAAACAGGAAAAGAGATCATCAACATAGTTTGTAGATACCAGTAATGGACTGGGCAATACTCCAGTACATACTTTAAGAATTTGGATACTATTTGGTGTTTTTGAAAGTAAGCAAAACAGTAATTACTATGTTCAGGGTTTTTTTTGTTTGTTTGTTTTTGTTTTTTAAGAAAGCTCCTAAGTATGTAGTCCCTAAGAATTTAGTCTTAAGAATTTTAATTTATAAAAAGTTTACATCTCATCAGTTATTTGTGGTGTTTGAACACAACGGTAGTTCAGCTATAACAAGATACCAAAATATTTCAAGAACTTAAGGTTTTTTTTTTCCGTTTTACCTTAGTGTGATCTTCACTCGATATTTTGTAAAAAATGAGAAGAAGTCCCAAATTTAGAATTTAGTCCTACATTATCTAATCAACTAGTAAAAACCTCAGTTGGTTAAATGACCAATTATTATACACCTTCCTCTTTGTTCTAGTTATGGTGTTTTTATTTTTATATTTTAACAAATATAACATTTTTTAAAGTATCTATGATTCTTCCTTCTCTTTCATTCACTAAATCTCCTCTTTTTGTCAGTTGTGTTCAGTGAATAATTTCTTCACTTGGGGTGTCCTTGACATTTGCCCTTTCTTTCCCTTCTTCTGCCTTTGCTTCATTTCTTTGTGTATTACTGCATGAGTCTTATTCATTCACCTTCTTTGATTCGGGCTGTCTGTATATCAGTCCATCTTGCATTTTGTTACTGGAATAACTCTACTAATGTCTCTTTCATAACATTTTAGTAAAAAATAGCAAATGACACCAAAGACTTTGCAAGATCAATACCATTGTAACTACATATATTTTCCTTGTCAAGCTAATCCCTCACTTGTTTTATATGTACATGCAGTTAATTCTTTTAAAAATACAAAGGAATGCAATATATTTGAAGAGATTGTCTGCATTCTCTTGCTTATTACAGTACTATTCACAATAGCCAAGATTTATGGAATCAACTAAAGTGTCCACCAGTGGATGAATGAATAAATAAAATGAATAAAATAAAATAAAATATATCTATATATACACAATGGAATATTATTCAACCATAAAAAAGATTGAAATCTTGTCATTTGCAGCAACATGGTTGGAACTGGAAGTCATTATGTTAAATGAAATAGGTCAGGGACAGAGAGATAAATATTGCATGTTCTAACTCATATGTGAGAGCTAAAAAGTTGAGTCTTGTGAAAATAGAGAGTAGATTGGTGGTTACTAGAGGCAGGGAAGGATAGGGGAGGGAGAAATGAAAAGACATTTATTAATGGATACAAATATACAGACTGAGAGAAGTAAGACCTAGTGTTTGATAAATTTGTAATAATTTAGATAATTATAACTATAGTAAATAGTAATTATTTTTACATCTCAAAATAGCTGAAAGATAGTAATCCAAGTGTTCCCAGCATAAAGAAAAGATAAATGTTTAATTTACTAGATATCTCAATTACCCTGATTAGACCATTACACATTGTATGACTATATCAAAATATTTACATGAACACCAAAAATGTGTACATCTATTGTATATAAATTAAAAATAATAAAAAGCATGTTTTCAAAATAATCCTTTATCCTATGATTTTATCTACATTCTACCATTCTTGAGCCATGCTTTCTCCAATTTTTTTCTCTTAATATTCTAGTTAATACTGATTATTTTTTACTTTTCAGAAATAATTGACTTAATATATTTATTGCATACATGTACCTAATTTTGGCATGAGTTCATTGGCTTTGATGGACCTTGACTTAAAATTGTTGTCCTTTATGATGTTAGCTGTCTTATGCTTTCTTTAGCCAATTGTTGTAGTTCTGTGCCTTGCTGACTTGTATGTCTCTTTAATTCTTCAAATATTCTGAAATTATTTCAATTAAGTGCCAATATTTTGCCTAATTTTGAAAAACATTGTAATTTTGTCTACCTTATGTTATTTAGTTCAATTGCCCTCCAATGTACAAGTTTGTTATGTGTGTAACTCACAGAATTAACAGAGGATGAGATTGCTGTTTTGCTTAAATGACAGGAAAACTATCAGTATTTCTACTCACTGATATTGACAGCAGTGGAGGTCATTGCTTACTTTGGTATTTATCATGAAGATATTAATGAGTAGCTATTTTGGGTATGGAAATGCATTTTAAAATAAAACTCTCTCCTACT